ATATGTTACCGCTTTGTACTCCCTGGCTCCACTGAGAATTCTGTCTTTGTCACTGATTTTTGATAATGTTAGTACAATATGTCTTGGTGAAGGCCTTCTTGGGTTGAGATAATTAGGTATTTCGTTGACTTCTTGAATTCCAAGCTCCAGCTCATTCTTTAGATTTGGGAAATTCTCGTCAACTATTTGTCTGAAAATGCTTTCTAATCCCTGCTCCTTTTCTTCCCCTTCAAGAATTTCCATTATTCTTATGTTTCCTCTCCTGACAATATCAGCTAGTTCTTGAATTTCTCTTTCATGATTTTTCATTCTTTGGTTTCTCTCTCCTTCCATCTGATTTATTTCTAGATTCTGTCTTCAATATCACTGATCCTCTCCTCCATTTGGTCGACTCTATTTCCCCAGCTTGTTATCTCATCTTTCAGCTCTTGCAGTATGTTCTTTATCTCCAGAAGGTCTATTCAGTTCTTTTTGAGGGTTTCAATCTCCCTGCTAAAGAATTCATTCTGCTCATCTAGGTAACTCTGGTGGCTGTGAATGGCAGCTTCATTATTTCTCTCAGTCCACCTCCCAACACCCGGGGTTCTGACTTGTGGTAGCTCTTATGCACAGATCCCACACTCAGACGTGCTGTGTGCAGTTTGGGTATTTTTGTTGAGTTTTAGATGCTCAGCTTATTGTTGTTTCAAGAGGAGAAATCTGAGGACATCTCTCACTCCGTCATGTTTCAAGAATGTCTGCTGTGCTCTTTTTGTCATTAATTCTACTCTGTTAGCAATTGCATAGCTGGTTAGATTAATATGTGATAATGATTCAGTACTTGAAATGGTGAGGCATGTCTCTTGTTTCTCTCTCCGTGAAATTCTAATTTGTAGTGAGTGGCTCAGAGCACTCAGATTTGAATTATTCTGTTTATACAAAAAGTCATTTATTAAATAAAGATGATGTTAGTAATTTTTAAATCATTGGTTGAGTCAGCTTTACTCTTTGGTTTGTAGACCAAAAAGAGTTTGTTACTTTAATGATACAGCTCTCCAATTTTAAATCAACTGCTAATGGGTGAATAAAACCCTACTGTAATTCAGATATGGTATTTAAGGAATAGTTTTTATCATTGTTTATCATCGAAAAGCATTAGATTCTATATTTTTAAACTATTACTTTTTAAGCATATTGATAGCCTTTCAAGTATCCAAGTATCTAACAGCCTCTAGGTCTTGCAAGCTAATGCTATTGGTAATATTTTAGGGCACTGAATTGTGCAACAAAGAAAAACTAAATTTGAGTTTGATTTATACTCAAATATAGCTCAGTCAGAAGAGATTAGGGATTTTCCTTTGTATAGGACACTATCAAAAAAAAGCTACCAGCTAGATAAACAACAAGAAGGTATGCTCTTTCTTTTACACTAAAAATGAGGTGTTTTTTTTTTTCATTTCAGTGTAAAACTTGTTCTGAGCCAAAACAGATAACCAGTTCATCTGCCATCTACAACAACCCCAATCTCATCAAACCAATTCCAGTGAAGCCCAGTGAAAACCAGCAACAGCATATACCTTGGCCCAACCAGGTACATGGTTCTCTGCTTTTCATATGTGGTGTCTTCTTTATTCAATTACAGTTGACATTCAATATTATATTAGTTTCAGGTATATAGCACAGTGGTTAGACATTTATAGAATTCTTAAAGAACTTTTACCCAGAATTTATTTAGGGAGGGCCTAGTGCTATTCGAGGATGCTTTAAGGTAAATCCAAAATAGAACAATTTCAAATTAGAGATTTTTTCATTATTAATAATTTACTCTTCCTCAAAGGGGTTAATATTTTACTTTTAGCATTTACCATACTCTGTGCTAATCTCTTGTGGACTCGAACTCCTTAGAGGATAATGTATTTTTTAAAAAACAACAAACTAATAACATTGTTAAAGCTGACAGGAATATTACCCATCAGGTCTGTATTCTGCTGAGGTTGGTGGTTGGTTTCCCAAGGCCACTGAGAGAATGACAGCCAAGGCAACAAAACTCAGGTTAACTTTTCCAAGCACCTCCTTTGTTCTAGTACAATGAATGCCCTCCTGAATCTAATGCAGTTATACCAAACTGCATTGGATTCAGGATGGGATTCCTGTCCTAAGGAGTGTTATGAAATTCTCCTTTAGACCTGATGATTTGGCATTGTATTTGCATCTAAAATATAAACATAATAGCAGTTTTGTGTGAGCATATATATATATTTCAAAATGGTAAAGCATTAATGAAATTGCTTTATCTGCAAGTCTCATTATTGATTGTAAATATAATGCGGCTATTTCCATTTCTTATGGTTATTTCTCATTAAAAATTTTTTTAAAAGAATTGATTTAAATCAATTTTGAAAATGAGCATGGAACCAAAAGACATAAGGACTGGCTAATGAATTTTTTTTTTTAAATAAGTCTTTTCTAATTATCTTTTTGCTTTCTTTTATTGTTTTCTATGAAAATTTTTTATTTTAATAGAGAAACCAGAATATATTAACTTGAGAATGAACCTCCTGTTTTCTTAGCCCAGCAATAGAAAAAGCAACAGAAAGGTAGAGATAATATAGAGCAGGAAGGAAGCAGCTTTGCAATTGGCCGGGCTAAGGTAGATTTTATGTATTTTAATGATTTTTTTAAAAAAGCTTCTAGTATATAGTTTAAAAAGAAAGATCAAGTTATATTAAATGACTTATGTTTCTTTCCTTCCCTAAATTTCTATAATTCTGTGAAAAGCTACCAGAAGTTCTGAAATCCTCATATTTCTGTATATTCTTAGTATCTTCTTATACTTTGCAGAGTTAGATTTCCTGTTGAAGAGAATATATACCTTTTAATGTAGGCAATTCTGTATTATAGTGGTCCCCAATCTGTGAAACCCAGGCCCATTAAGGATCATATGCCTATTTCATCATTCAACAAATACTAAGCTATAACAGCTATCTTGAGAGTGGTAGGGGAGAATGCTGTGAAAATTGTTTTCATTTAAAAAGTCTCAAATTTGTGGTTTATTATAGTTAAGTTTTTTCATCCTCTCTAATTGATTCTTTGTAAATTGAAGAAATCATCTATTAGGTAAGTTATGTTTCATAGCCCCCATATAACCAAACTGTATGTAGACCCATTTTGAGACATTTTTATTTTTTCCAGACCTTAGACCCTGAACCCCAACACTTGTCCTTGATGGCACTCTTTGGGAAGCAGGACAAAGCTACATGTCAGGAAACTGTGGGGCCTCCACAGACCTTCCACCAGCACCACCAGCAGCAAGAGAAGCTTCCAATTAGGCAGGGGGTTGTGCGTTCCCTGTCCTATGAGGAACCCAAAAGACACTCGCCCCCCATCGAGAAGCAGCTCTGTCCAGCCATTCAGAAACTCCTGATCAGGAGTGCAGACCTCCACCCATTGTCAGAGCTTCCTGAAAACCAGCCCTGCAAAAATGGCAGTACCCATTCTGCTAGGGAAGTTTTTACTGGACCTGCCCAGCCAGGGTCTCCCCAGACCATTGGGGCCTCTCATCGTGTACACAATGCTTCCAGAACTCAGAACCTGTTAGAGAAGCTTCACAGTGCCCCAGGGGCAGTGAAGAAGCACTACCCTAGTACACCAGCACCTGCCAGCTCAGCTGCCCTAAGCTTCAGCACAACTCTTACTGCTGCCACCCCTGCAGCTCCAGTAAAGGGAGTGTCTCAGCCACAACTGGTACATGTCAATGGCTCCCTTCCACCTCAGGCACTAGGACATCAGGCTCATGGAAAAGAACAGTCTACGCGTCCAAGACAAATGCTCCCTATCTCTGGCAATCAGACAAGTGGTTCTGGAGTGATCTCCCCTCAAGAGCTACTAAAGAAGCTTCAGATCGTGCAGCAGGAGCAGCAGCTGCATGCATCTAACCGACCAGCCTTGGCAGCTAAGTTTCCTGTGGTAACTCAGAGCTCTAGAACAGGAAAACCCTTGGAATCTTGGAGCGACAAGACATCCAGCACAGAAAAGCAGGCTCCTCTTCTCCGGGTAAATATCTATGAGAGTTGAGGGGGTGGAGGGGAAGGTTATTGCTATAATGGAGTGAAATTTGGAATCAGCTTCTGTGCTCTAGGGACATTTCTGTTTAGAACAGGTGCCAAAGCCACATCTGTACATCTATTTATCACCTTAACTTTCTGCCTGGAAAGAGAATCTTTTTTCTGCTTAGCAATCTGGGAGCTTCCCTCCTTTCAGAGATGCTTCATTTGCAGAGTTAAATCTTTGCAGTGTTTTAAGGTCTGAAGACATAGACATGGACATGGACCTGCATGAGAAAACATAGACATGGGGAAAAACCCTAATCTTTGTGCAAACTTGTGGTCTGCTTTGAAATCATTCTGGAATAGCAAACATCTGACCTCTTGTTATTTCAGTCCACAATTCATTGTTGGTTATTCATTTATTCAGTAAATATTTTTGAGTACTTACTCCCTGCCAGCCATTGTGCTACGTGTGGGTACGGAGTGATGAGGAGCACAGGTGCGCTGCCTCTGCAAAGACCGCAGTCCTGGAGGTGCTTGAAGTCAAACATACCATTAACTCCTTAAAGGTGCAGCCTGCTTTTGTTTATGTCACCAGTATAGCTCAGTGAAGATCGCGAGAGGGATAGGCATGCCATCTACCCCACCCACACCCACACAAATTGCCAAAGAGGGAAAATACTGTAATTTTTAGATGTAGTCTATCCTTTAAGGAATAAGGTTCTCTGTGTTCATCAGTAACTTAGAACGGCTAGAAAACCACAAGCTATTCCACTGCCAGTGGGTAACATCTGGAGATTGGGCTCCCCCCACCCACTCCCCGCCATTTGAATTGGTACAAATTCATTGACAATACAGTGTGTTTAAGAATTAGGAAGTTCTCCCTATGTATTACATATATCATCATTGGGGTTTTGTCATGTTTTGGCAAGTAGCTTATAATGGTTCCTCAAAAATCTTTCCTTTTTTTTTGAAAACAAATATTATAAGCTTGTAGCATAAGTCTTTGTGACTGTCAGGCACTGAGTTAGAGTACTCTTATTTATTATTTATTAATATCGCAAATCTCAATACCTACCGCTATAGAAACAATGTTTGTCACTCACCCTCATCCTCGTTTCAATGTAATATTGTCCTCTTTTTTATAGCTGATTTTTTTCTCTTTAATGATTTATATTGGACACTAGGAAAATTGGGATCGATAGTTTAGCATAAACGTCTACATGTACAGTTCTCTTTTATTTCCAGTGCTCACAGGTGTGGAGCCAAACAGGAAAGTACACATTGTCAGCCCACACTATGCTCTTCTTAATGGTGCTGGCTGTCCTCCAGGAGCATCGTCTCAGCCCCTCTCCTTGGAATAGCAGATAGGAACAGGAAAACAAACAACCTACCTTCTTCTAGTCTAGTTTCTGCCCAAAATGATACCAAGGGAATGGTTATAAAATCATAGCAGTTTCTGGATCAATGGCCTTTATGCCCCATCTTTGAGTTCTTCTGAGGCATTAGGAGGCTGATAAGTGACATCTTTTTTTTTTGCACCTGAGTTAGAAACAAATGAGAGAGAGAGAGAGAGAGCTGAAGGAACCAATCAGGTAGAGATCAAAATGTCACTTGCATAACTGGAAAAGCCACTGGAAAACTTGGTTTTAGGTCTGTTACCCAAGTGAGGTAGACTGACTTACCCAGACAGGCAAGTGACTGGCAGTGCTGGGCATGACCAGCCCCTGGGGGCCTGCCTCTGCGACTTTAGCATGGGAAGACAGAAAGTGTATGCTTTCCGAAAGCAGGCAAATCCCATTAGGAAAGGCCCCAGGGTGGGGCGGGTGGTGGGGTGGACCCGAGAATCACGCCTCTCTCCTGATGAGAAGTGAGTGAGGAGGGCTGCTCTCAAAGCAGTTCCTCCATGGAGAAATCGGGAGTGGAAACATGTGTACATCCAACAACTCACATAGGTTGTGGGACCTTTAGGTCAGAGAAGTGGACCACTAGCCCGGAGGAAGAGGCCAGTAGTCCTAAATGCATGTTGCCAAGTGATGAGAGTAAAGCAGACAAGTCAAATATTACTCAGAGGCTACGCTTTATATGCAATGGGAACAATAGTCACTACCGCAGACTGCCAGACCTGCTTAGCAACAAGGGGTCAGTTCTCCTAAGAGCTTTTCCCATCTAGTGAAATTGTGAACAACTAAGATTTAAACTCACCTGTATCTACTCTTGCAAGTGAGCAGCTGCTTTATCTCTGTATCTGTTGTTTCAATGCGTTGCTACCTACTTCTGCCCTCTGTGTGTTTATTTGCTGTGAGCAGGTCATCTCATCGCAGCGTATCCCTGCTACAGTGGCCTCTTCTCTGCTCATGTCCCCCATGGTGTTCACACAACCCACCTGTACCTCACCAAAGGAGCGGGACAGTGGGCTCTTGCCCTTGGGAAGCCAGGATCCAGCTGCCACCTCCACCAGCCTCCTCCTGCCTCTGCAGAGCCCGGAGCCCAATGTACTCACCAGCAGCCCACTTACCAAGTTGCAACTTCAAGAAGCACTGCTGTTCCTCATTCAGGTAGGAGAGACCATTCTCTCTCCTCTTCTTACCTTTACCAATCCTGCTGACTCGGGGGTTGCCACTATGAGATAAAGACTCACTTAGCTAATGCCTACTTAGTACTCCCCAAGAATAAGAGGATGACATAACAAGTCACCCTAAACCACATGGCTCTGTCTTAGCTGGCTGAGATTCAGAATGCGAACTGTGGCTTTGGATGTCTCAACTCAAGGATTTGAAGGACTAAGTCCTCCAAGCTGTCACCCGTCAGAAAAGGGGGCATAATTAAGGAAGTATAAGGAAGTATAATTAGCCACTGAGCCACTGAGAGGATTCTATGTGCTGTGGGGCGCCCAAACCAAGAACACACCTTTGAGAATTAGAGGTCAGGGCCATCGTGAGCGAGTGGTGGCACTTAGTGGAGAATTCAAGCAGAGTGTGAACAAGGAGCAAGCAGGTAGTGAAGCAAGTAATGGCTGCGACTACTAAGGGCATACTTTACAAGTAATTTTGAAACCTGTCAATTAGAACAGGATAGAATGACAGGACTTCTTTGGCAGCCACATGTCTTACTTGTCTCTATGAAATAACAGCAACAGCTAACACTTATGTAGATCTTTGTGTCAGGCACTGTTTTAAATGCTTAACATATATTAATTCATTTCATCCTTATACAACAACCCTGTTATTTTTTCAATTTTAGAGACAAGGAAACTGAGGCTAAGTAACTGGCCTGAGGTCACACAGCTAGGAGAGGGCAGAGCTGGGATTCGACCCCAGTCTGGCTCTAGAGCGTTCCCACTGGCCGCAGTCAGGGCCGCAGTCGGGGCCGCAGTCGTAACTGGACTGCTGCACAGAATCGGGCCCTGGGCGGTCCTTCAGCAGTGCACCTAGCAAAGCACATCCGAAAATAAACGGTAGGCCTTGAAAAGTGGGGTGCTTTTCTTTAAACAGACTTTAGACACCTCAGTAACATATTTAGGTATCTTTTTGATAGTCTTTAAGAGAATTTTTGGGGTGCTTTGCTTAAGCTTCAGAAAGCAGGCTAGCACTTTTGCAGTTGTCTCATTCTACTTGAAAAGAAAATGGTCTCTATTAGTAAAAACACTTTTTAAATGCAACGTATTTTAGAATGAAAGGAAAGGGCCTAGAAATCAGCATCTGAGTGTGAAAGCGGAAAAATAATCTGCTAAAGATGAGCAACAAATGATTGTGCGTTACTAATTCACAACTATCGGGATACGAATATTTCCTTTTAAGCCATTCATGATAGGTTCATGAGGACTTAGATAGGACGTCTATAAGCAATTAAGGGAAAAATACCTTAAATTTGAATTTTAAAGTTACATATTTTTTTTCTGGCTCATTCCATTTAAATCACATTGTTCCAAAGATCTCCGTGCAACGCCAAGACTTCGGAAGTCCAGCACAGTCCCTTTACATAAATATGTTCCCTCCACTCTCTACATACATTTTACTTTTCCCCATGTTTTAGACATGTTTTCCTGATGAGCTGTTAGAAGTCACTCAAGCAGTCTGTTTTTAGTCTTTGCCTGTTAGTAGGACACAGTCTCATGCATAAGGACTTTGTGGCCACTTTGTAGGGATAAGTAGCTCTCCTTCATTGCATGAGAATAATGTTAACTCTGTGTGTGGGAAGGCAAGAGGGGATGAGGGGGAAATGTGAAATGTGGGTGATTGCTAAAGCTTTAAAAGATTTGGGTGGGAGGGAGAAGTCTCCAGAATTAAAATCAGAAAACTACTAATTAGACCGGTGATTCTCCCTCAGCCCTTAGCCAGGCAGAAGAGCCCAGAGACTGCCAGTTTAACTACTGTCCACTTGGCAAAGCCAAAAACTTTCTGTAATAATGGGAGAATTATACTGGCTTTGATGAGATACCAATGAAACATATTACAAGTAAAATCTTATCTAATGCCAAAACAAAGTATACATAGTGGAGGACCTTTGAGAACCACTTGCATTCTCCTAACCAGATGTCAAGAACCACTGACCTAGATCATTTTCTCCCTCCCCAGCCTGCTGTTGGGGACTTCTGTATTTTCACCAGGCTTTTCATGAGACAACCTCGTTCCATATGCCATGTGGCTAGGTTGCCCATCTGTGCTAATGTAACATACCAGCCATCAAAAACCAGCAGTGGACTCTGTCCAGCCTTGTCTTCAATCCCACCTAACATTCACATAAGCAATTAAAAACTACCAGCTGCTAGAGCAAGGTAGAGCTGAGCATCTTAGGATCAAAATGCCAGTTCAGCTCCAATACAGAGGAAGCCTTTTATTTCTGCCAACAAATAACATTCCGTTGGGTCTTTTGATTTTGTTTTCCAGAATGACGACAACTTCTTAAATATAATCTATGAGGCTTATCTCTTCAGCATGACACAAGCAGCCATGAAAAAGACTATGTGAAAGCAAAGCATTTCAAAATTGATTTTCAAGGTCCTCCAGCTCAAGGTTCTTTCATGTTAAGTGGTGTTACTCTGAATGTTTCTGTCTTTTTTTTAAAAAGTATGTGTAATATGAAGTAAAATGTTTCAGACTCTTTTTCAGTCAAGCTTAAAAAAAAATAATGAAATCCTTCAGTATATCTGGTACTATGAATTGAGTGGGTAGATAAATCCTTTGCTCAGATCACACAGTAAATAATACCAAGCTTAAATTATTTTTTTACATGTATAGGTCCATTCCTTGAAGATTTAGTCTCTCCACAGGGAGGGCTGTTTTGGAAACTTTGTTTCTTTTTTATAGCTTGTTTATTCTGTGAACGCGGAGAATGTGTGCTGTTCCCATTACTGAGTTCTGTGTGCCATAGGGCATGCCGACCACAAGGTGGCAGTGTCACCTCGCAGACTAAGGCATTCAGCCCTTACCCAGCCTTTGGAAGTAATGCTTCCATTTCTTTTACCAGACAAAGTAAACCTTTCATTTGTTAAAGTCCAATTGGCTTGTTTTCCCAGGGCCTCCGACGGGAAATTATTTCTAAGGTATTTATAGCTAGTTGCTAGAGGATAGTTGTTCTAGGTGTCCACCAATGGCCCAGATTTCCAGTAACACTTCATTTATCCAGGCTCATGCTGTTTCTTTTGGACCCAACCAGCAGAATATGCCTTCCTATGCCTCCAACTGAACATTTTATCATTTTTAGCAAACATGCTGAGAGGAAGGTCACAGAAGATTTTAAAGCCTTTTCTTAGCCTCTGAGGATAAGTAATGGATTGTTCAAGGCATAATGATAAGGATTCTTCAAGGTATGTAGCAGATTGGTTTTTAAGTTCTTAGAGATGAGGAGCTTAATCTTGGAAGGAGTAGAAGAGCCCTTGCCAAGTCGTTAAGGCCCAAAAGAGTGGGTATGGGAATTAGTCCCTGCTGAGTATCAGTAATAAATAAAGCTTTGCATTTCTATAGCCCTTTTTATTCTTGGATCATAAAAAGATCTCTAGATGACTGCGCAGAAGACAGGTTTTATTCTCATTTTATAAGCCATAAAAGGAGGCATGGGAAAAGTAGGTTTCCTCACAGCTTCTGATGCTGAGATTTGGGCTTTCAGCTTTAGACCTTTATTCAGGCACACCGTCAAGCAAAGGGTTTATGGGAGGACCACCTCCCCACTTCCCACAGGAGTGCGCTTTTTCTTCTGAGGAGAAGAGGTGGGTGGAAAGGCAGTGACTTTACTGAGCCCTTGTTTCGTGCCATACTCAGGCTGAGGGATCTACTGTCATCCTCCCACGCTTAGGAAAGGATGGTTTCTTTTGTTTCTTTGATGTCTCCTACAACATCTAACAGTGAAAACCCATATGACGTTCTAACAAAATACTCGAAGTTAATAATTGCTTCTATAATATCTCGATATTCTTATAAGGAGAATGGGTCAAGGAGAGAGACACACGTGGATCTATTATCCCAAAATCAATGACTGCTCAGTTTGGTAACACATATACTAAAATTGGAACAAAATCAATGATATACTTAACTTCTGGCCAACCGTTTTGTTTGTTTTTTTTTTTTTTTAATCTCTTTGATCTCAATTACATGTTTAGAGTTGCTTCTCTCGCTAGGGAGAAATTAATTCCCTTTTAAATGTTTCTAATATATTTGGGGCAGCAAATGGCTAATCTTATGAAGTATTTTTATTTTACCTCAGCATTAAATAAAATAAAATAGAAAGAAATATCAATTGCAGCACCTAATGTGAAAAGATACACACAGCGAGATAGAGGAATGAACCTGAGCCCGGCATGGTCAGACCTACACTGCGAGCTTTTCTCGGGCCTTTTTAGGTCAACACCACAGTTACCTATTTTTGAAAGATAACAAATTCGCCATCCTTTACTGGATTGAGACACTTTAAAAGTGATAGGCCCAATTCATTTAGACCAAAGACTCAGTCACTCTCTTAAAGGACTCTTGGTGATAGAGTACTTATTCCTTCTACATGGCAAAGCAGATGAGAGCTTCTTTGTATAAAGAGACATCTCTAAAGAAGTCAAGAAATAGATTAAAGAGTTGTCTAAGGCACCCAATGTTAGATTTCATACATAAATTAATTTATTTTTCCCACTCTTACCCCACATGCTGAGACCATCACAGACCCCCCTCCTAGGTGTCAGACTATATCCAGCAGCAGTTTTAAGCTAACTGAATTTCAAATGGGACTATGAGATTTTGTTTTTAAAGGCAGCATTGTTCAGTGCAGTGGATTTCAATCTTGCAGAAGTGATGGAAGTCAGTTCCGCTTGGTGCAGGGAACAGAACACGTCCTTTGTCAGACAGTTCTTGGACAAGTGAACTTTTCCAACACACTGATTTTTGAATTGTAAAATGAAAGTAATACTCATTTCACAGGGTCCTTATGAGGATTAACTAGGAGCGAATTATGTAAAATGGCACCTCCTGCCTTGTACTCTAGAAGTATGAGTTCCTTTCTGCCCCCTCTGCCTTGTCTGTTGTGGCCAGTCCTCCGACGCTATGCTCACCCCTCCAACTGTTGAGATGAGGCCCTCACTTCATCTGCTAGCCTCCAAGACCTACGTATTCAGTCTGATGTTGACACTTATATATCCATGGTCACTTTGCTATACCATCATCTCCCCTTCATTTCTTTATCAATAAAATGAAAAGTTTCACTTATCTCTTCCTTCCAAAGGAAGTGCCATGAACTCTTTAAGATAAAGATGTCAGTTTAACCCAAAGAGCACTGTTGTTACTGCCCTACATTTCTGGGTAAAGCACCATTTTAATAGAAAGGCAGAGAAGGCAATCCCTGAATGGTCTCCTGAAAAGACACAAAGGCCAGACGTGGTGGTAATTTCAGAGAGACACTTTTGCTAGCATCTTCAAGAACTTCCTGGTATGGAACCCAGTTCTGCTGATACCAACAACTGGTTTCTTCCAGTGGGTTCAAAAGGTAAGCCCAGGGCCAAAACTTCCCAGGCTGAAGGCACACATTGTTTACATCGGGTAAGTTCATTCTTCCCTCAAACACTATTAGCCCAACACCTTTCTCATCTCCTGGGGATAGACAGGACTCTGCTTTCTTCCTCTTGAATAAGGAGGGTTCAATCAGAGAAGAAAGTACCGTCCTTAAAGAAATTCCAACTATTGAATTACATTAGCACTCTTAAGTTCTCTTACATGCTAAGGTGGAAACTACCAGTGGATACATATGAAGGCTTATATCCCTGAGTGTGTAATACTAAGGATGGGAGGCGTCGCATCAAAGACCAGGCCTCCGAACTCCAGGCTTCACTTGGGTTCAACCAGATGTCAGCACACACGGGAAAGGAGAGGAGCTCAGAACTGAACTCTAAAGACGGTCTTGTGCTTCCAGCTGAACATTTGGAAGGACTGGGGCGAGGTGGAAGTGTGGGGTACAGTGTTAGGGGTCATGTTTTCAGACCCTATGCTCACCCCTCCCAGCAATAGAGAAGACTTTTTTCTCCATAATGCCTGCTCTATTCAGACATGTGCCTCCTTTCTTTTCAACAAAATCAGCTTGCTTCCCAGGCTTTGGAACGTTGAGCCATCTTTAAGGTTAAATTTGTCATTTGCAGCCAGCAGGTTGTAGCAACACTTCCTCAAGTAAAGTTGCCTGGCTGCACAGATTGGTGGGTCTCACCAACATTTTGCTGAATACTTGATTTTTAGGTGTCATGTGCTCACCATCTCCCTTCCTCTGACAATTAGGGGAGTGAGAGAGGCACTTACAAATACTTGTATATTTAACTCAACCTTGAGTAGATAGATTTTCACCAAATTAAGTTATGAGTAATGCCTTCCAACAGCTAAGAGCCTTGAAAAAGTACACAAATAAAAACTGCGTGTGCATATTATGGTCTTAAAACATCACAGGGGAGGTGGAAAGCAGAGCAGTGTCTGTAACACTCTCCAGGGGCTGGGCTGGGCAGTGCAGACAGGCACATGGCTCTGAGCCAGCTAGCACAGCCCAAACCATGCAGCCTGAGTTTCTTGGACAAATTAAAGACACAGCAGGAAGGAAGTAAAGGATTTCTAAATAGGCAAGCGAAAGGGTGGGATACACTACATTGTAAGCCAAAAATCTAAGAATTTCCCTAAAAATCTGAGAACCAAGATGAAAGGTTCTAAGTATCCAGGTGAAAGTTAAAGTAAAACATCCTGCCGAGGTTAGCTGGTGTGAAACAGACACTCAAGGGAGGTTGTGGAGGTTCCCTTTGTGATGCTAAGCATCAACAAGGCCACCAGTCCAGGAGACTAGTCCCGTGATGGAAGCTGCAGATCCCATCCAGCTGTGTCTACATGTAAAATTCCATGGAAGACATAACCCACTAAAAGAAAGCTCTGGCTCCTCCAAGAGATTGTTTTTTCTCTTCCCACAGCCTGGTGGGTAGATAATGCCAACCACGCCTTTTCCCGGCACGGCTAGAGCCTACATTTAGGAGCAACAAAGACCAAGATGGCAGTCCCAACATCTAGGTTGCCATGAGCTCTTTATCCCACATGATATCATGTAAAGAACATGTACTTAGAGTCAAAGAGATCTGAATTCTAATCTCACCACCTCCTGTCTCTTTCCTCAACAAGTGAGTATAAGGGGGGGAAATTATTTTCCTTATGGTCATCATGCAAACATAGAAATTGTCACTTCGGGTCAGAGAATGGCCATCCATTTTTTGCAGGGGCATTTGGACAGCGGCCCCATGGACTGTACCATGGGAGGAGCTGGTTCTCTGCTCCCATCAACCTGAAAGGTTAGGTATATCTCAGCTTCTCTGTGTTGCCATTTATGGCTCTGTCATAAATCTGTCCAGAATTCTGTTTGCTGTTTCTATAGTTTGTGCCCATAGCACTTTCCGGGGGTGGGGGGGTTGGGGGTCATGAGTTCCTTAAGTTTGGTTCCCTTCTGTATACATAGTAGTTCTCCTAGTGTGCTCAGGGTCTACGAAACTGGCTTGGCAGAAAATCCACAAATGACAGACCCTGATAGGATGAGGGGCTCTGTTCTGCAGTAAAATGTCAGCCTGTGTGTGAATGTCCATAACCTGTCAAAAGCCTGTCTTCCCTAGGCCAAACTCAGTAATGTCAGCTAAGAGTTATTCTTAGCTTTGGGTTCCTGAACATTTTTCAGCCTCCTCAGTGCTTGTCCTGAGGAGAAAGATGTCAGAGAAATGTGCCTCATTTGGTTTCATAGATCCAGAAAGCATATCTATGTATCTTACCCATCCATTGGAAATGAGCTGCTCTTCTCCAAACTCTTTACCACATGCCGAGTTCACTTCATTCATTCACACATGCATATATTCATTCAGCAAAAGTACTGACCTCTCTATGTGAAGACACAAAGATGAATCAGACCTGGTCCCTGCCCCAAGGATCTCACAGTCCAGGTTGGAGGGAGACTAGTTATAAAACATGATAAGGGATATAACTGATAGACATGGGATATTATGACTCAGTTAAAGCAAATATAAGAGGTTGAGAGAAGGCTTTCAGGCAGAGGATACCTAAGCTGGTTTCACATGGGGGTAAGCAGATATTCAAGGCACATAAATGATGGCAGGAGATATGAAGGCAAAAAGCAGCAATGGGTGTGTGTGGGTGGGGGGGTGGGTGGGTGTGCATGTGTGGTTGTGTGGGAAGAGGGGAGGTAGAATACAAGCCATGCAGTGTTGCTGGAACTTAAATGAGGAGATAAATGGTGTCAGGAGTTGTGGCTGGAGAAAGCACAGTCCAGACCATGCAGACAGTAGAGACTGACAATTCAAGCAGGATGGGCCATGGTCATATCTTTATTTCCCACACATCCCTGACAGCCAGCAGAGGAGGGAATACAGGAGAGAGAAGAGGGCAATGGAGATGCCTTTGGGAGGCTATGGCAGTGGTCCAAGTGGGAAAGGATGATAGACTGATCTAAGGCAACGGTAGTTGAGATGAAAAAAAGAGAAGACAGGTTTAAATATTTAGGAAGTAAAATCTCTAAGACTTAGTTATTGATTATCTGTGGATAGTAAAGAAGAAGTCAAAGACGACTACCAGGTTTCTAGCTTGGTTGGCTAGGTTGGTGATAGTAAGATTAAGTGAGATAGCACCTATTAAGTTCTTCCTATGTACCTGGCACCATTCTCGGCACTTCGTATATTATTTCATTTGCCCCTCACTGAAACCCTACAAGGTGTCCTCTGTGGCTGAGGAACCTGATTAAGTTCATTTCTTCTTAACTGTGCCTTTATACTCAGTGCATTCAGAGGCAGAATTGTTCTTTCCCACCAACCCAAGCTGAATGCTGGATGGGAAGCAGGAGGCAGAATGGCCATGTTTGCAGGCTAGCCTATGCTTGGAGAGAGAGGAACCCACATCATGTACTTCCCAAACCTAGATTCCCTCCTGAAGCTGATGACAGCAAGACGAGGTTGGTTACAAGAATGAGAGAGTTGGTCCCATGGGCCCAAATCGACAACTTCCCAGGGTCCAATCTGACATTCTGTGACCGTGCAGCCCTGGTGCATCCCCGGGTGTCAGCAAAGAGCCCCACGGCCCCCTCGTGGTCTGCGGCTCTTAGCAAAGTCTCTCACCAAAGGTTCCTTCAGGCAGAGAGGACTCTGCCTCTGCCAGTGTTTCCCAGTGGACCCCTCAGCGAGCCGTGGGAGCCTCTTTATTCACTCCAATTGTCACTTCCTTGGGTCTCCTGAGGGAAGCAGCAGCCACTTTGCGTTGGGACCTGCAAATATCCTCCTGGTTTAATCCTCTGCACTGCCCAGGCCTAGCTGCCAATAGAGTACCCTGCCCTCCGTGAATGCCGACAGCCCGGGCACGTGGAGGCAGCCTCCTGCAGGGGGAAGAGCAAGACCCAGGAGACCTCAGTTCTCGTTCACACTTTGCTACTAACCTGCTCCGTGATTTTTTCCCCTCTCTGGAAGTCAGTTTCTCTATTTATAAAATAAAATGGTTGGATTTGATAACAAAGAATACACCTCCACACCCCACATGTGAAGAGCTCTTTGCAGGTCCAGACTCGGCAACCCTGAGAACCAGCTATTCCCATGGTCGTTTCATGCACGAAGACTTGCAACTACTGTTGGTCCAGTGGGGTTGCCAGGGAGTTCTCTGTAACTCAGATGCTGGAGCACCTTCCTTTATTCCATTACAGCCACTCCAATGCGGCAAAAGAAAGCATAACTTCAGCCGAAGCCTGCAGAGCCTTTGGGAGGGGTTTTGCAGTGAACAGAGGTCCTTTCATTTCCAATGGCCAAGGATTCTGGAGATTCAGGTCCTCTTTCTTCTTTAGTGCCACTCAGTTGTCATCAGTAGGTGACCGCATAATCTATCATCCAAACTAGGATACTTTTGAGCATGAACTATTAATAATTACACCAGACAGTGGGTATAAACTTGGAGCGTCCTAGGCAAACAGGGACAAATGGTCACTGTATGTGTCACCATGTATATCCTGTCAAACATCCAGCCCTGAAGATCCCCTGGTTCAGCCATTCAGTTAGCACCAGCCTTAGACTAAGCTTAAAAGATATCAGGTTGCAGACAAGCAGCTACTCCTAAAGTCAGGAGGCCGAGTTCTGGGCTTGGCTCTGTTTTAATTTGTTATGTGTAACTAAAGCCAGGTCAACATCCAGCTCCCTTTCTCCTTTTGGGTCCTT